AGTTTTTTTGTACCTTCCGATACATCACTTAAGACAAAAATGAAAAAAAATAATAATAACTAATAATAACTAATCATGATAGTTATTTAGTTCTCTTTTTAGTCTCAAATCTGGACTTTATTATTTATTGTTATCACTGTTTGTTGGTCATTCATTTGTCACTTATTTAATAATTTTGCTTGGGATGTTAAAATTTTTTTTTTTAGCCTAACAAAAAATATTTAGACGCTTAGTACGAGCTGTTATTATCGACTTAATAAAATGAGGATTGCCCATGAATTTACATCCAATTTTTCATTGAGAATCATTTCGGTACTCGCAGTTTTAGTATAACATGACATTTACTTTTGACCAAAGTTACACACTTAAGTTGTGAGGTATGAAAAGTACTACCTTGTTTAGGAAAACATCAATGTACATTATTAAAATATTTCATCCAGCCAGGAGTTATTGAAACTTTCATAGCGCCTGTGGTGCGTGAAATCGATAGGTATGATATCTTATCGATTGTTCGAGAACTCGTACTTCATCACTTGAAACTTGTGAAGTATACTTATTCCAATACGTTCTTAAACATGTATGTATTTGATAATTTAATAAACGTTAGGTCAGATGCACGACTTATAGATAGTTTATAATAACGTAGAAGACAAAGTATAATTTACTGCACTTGAGGTTGACGACGAGTTTTCGAGCAATTGATAAGATATCAGATGCATCGAATGCCCCGATTGAACGCCTGGACTCCAATGATTTGTAAAAATTACTCTTTTGCATGTAAAACCAGTACACAACATACATAAAAACTGATGTTTTCGTTCATTAAAATAAAATTAGGCAATTAATAAGTCGTTGCATGGATGTACGCAAGTAACAACTGTGTCAAATACTATAAGCTTACGTGTCTAAAAAGCCATGAAATGTTATATTTTTTTAAAGACTTGCTCTTTTAAATCAGTGGAACTTCAGTTAAATTTCAGTGGTTTGAATTTTATTCGTAATTGCTGCTAGTTGTAAATAATTAAACTATCAAATCAACCCAATTAAAGAATCAGATTTTCAAAAAAAAGTTTCAACATTTATTATCATTATTATTATGATTTGTCATCGCAATGATAAGGGACGTGAAAAATGCTTTGTTTCGTATAACGAGCAAATCATTTGAAAGTAATTAATTACTTCAGTTCAGGAGAAAACTGATGTGAAATCACTCTTTTGCAAAGCAATAATTTTCCATTGAAGTTAAGTCGAAGACAAACGTTATCAAGATATTTCTGATAAGCATAACTGTCGCATGTGAGGATATTGTTTTGCTAATGAAGAAAGACACGCTATTCACTTGTCACATGAAGGATCACGAACTTGTAAACTCGATGATGATGATGATGATGATGAGACTAATTTACGATAATCACGAATGTTGGTAATAAAACGTAATCATAACTGTTGCGTAACCAAAAAATCACGAGATTTTTCACCAAAAGATGAATTTTGGCATGAAAATTTAATACCATGCCTTATGAATCTGAAATTCTTTTTATATCTTTTTCAGGTAGAGTTAAGCACGTTTACCGAAATAGCACACATTACGCACCGAGATTTACAACTAACGTGGATACGCAAAACGAGGACATATTTGTTTGCAATCCAGATTTCAATCTAAAAGTTGGCTTTGTTATATAATACCAATAAATCGACATGGACATATCAAAATTGTACGTTACACAACTAGTTTTTTTTTTTGTTTTTTTTTTTTTAAGTCAGCAGTACGATAGGTTCGACAAAGAAATAATAACTTCTACAAATATTTATTGGACATAAATTCATTTTATGCTCACTTATTTGCTCAAAATAAAATTCTTTTTCATACAAATGTATTTATTTTCGTGACAAATTATATAAAATATATTTTTAGGCACGTTCATGCTAGAGGCAACGAGATTTTTAAAGAAAGTTGTGGCTGCTAAAGACAAACAAAATAAAACAAAAAAATCACGGGCTCACTCCCGAAGCCTTAAACATAAGCAAAACCCTGCATCTTTTGCTACACGACTTTTCACGGCAAGCAACGAAATGCATCTTTCTCCCTGGTCAGCTGAAAACTCCATTGTTTAGCTTATAATCCCTTTTAACATACGCGTGAAAAAATGTCGAGCGAGTCCTAGCAGGTATATACAAAAGATTTCGAAGAACTCCCGTTAAGTCTACCATTGTGTCGACGCACAGATACTCACATGTATACCAAGAACCAAAACTGTTGTTGAGCGACACGAGGACAAGATGCTTGCGACTATTAAGCATATGTACGCGTCATCCTTCGAAATTTTGTTTACAATCCCTTGGAACAGAATTGCACCATACACCCTTTTGTATCGTATAAATTTAAAATAGTGAGGAGAAACCATCTCGAAGGTATTGGTAAGTGTTAAAATGTTTCCTACCATGGGCGTTATCGAGGGTTGGGGGTGCCCTTGGCATACAAGTGACATCCATACGTGTGATTCTCGGGCAGCAAAATATCTCTGGAGGCCATATCTTTAAGTGACGAAAACTACCATTTTTTAACGAAAATTAAAATGATCTTTATCGTCACAACTGTCGTTTAAATATTATAATAATCATAAAAAAGCACTTTTCAAGATTGCTACATGATCTCTGTGTACGAAAACAGCATGGCATTTTTTACTCACAGGCATGTTTACTGCTTAACTAGCGAAATATTGCTGATATTTGTCTAAATATCGTGTGCTCGTATAGTTGTAAAACGGTGGTTTTTGCACTTTAAATGCGTCCGGTTTCTATGAAAACACGATGTCGTTAGCGCCCTGAAAAAAGGGCTCGCGTGCCAATGACTTGCTCGACAAACGGAGCGTGAACTTCATATTCGGTATGCTCCGTGCAACATAAACACGTACTGACGACCGTTAGAGCGCGACTCGATGAGCGTCAATTTTCGCGCGAGTTTTCACCTCGCGTTTCCACGAACAGCTCATGCGGAGCACACGATACATATACCTGCGCCGATCTATCTCTTGCGTGTAGTATTGCGTTAGCTCGTTTGGAGCGCGCTGACGCGTGAATTTGCCACTCGAGTGTTTAAGGATTCCTCGAATGAAAAGTTGCAGCCTTTTGTTCGCGCCCGTGATTGCTCGCGCGCTCGCGTGGCCACGCTTATCTCGTCAAATGCCGCACAATGTAACGCGATGGTAGTCGACGCGACTACCCAAGTTTGTGAATATATATATTTGCGCGATGCTGGTATTTTTACAACCAAATGGCGCAAAGTGCGTGTGATAAGAAAGCGCAAACATTGTTACAGTTTCTCGAAAAATTGCGTTTTTGTATAGACACGCGTCAACGATCTTTGACACTTGCACTGGCAATCTGTTTTGGGCTGATTTCTTTGGGGTATCGTCGCACAAAAATAATTTAACCGCAAAAATGGCCTCTTGCCTGGCATTTTTTGCCCTCATCGTGCAAGAACCACAAGAACGTAAGCCAACACGTTATTCGCGTTCTGGGTGCCTCCATTGTTTGGACACGGGCTTAAAAAGTGCAGCATCGGATGGAAAAAGGGCAGCATGTTCAGAGACGCGTGCCGTGGAAGTACGACGTGTGTTACCCACTATGTGCACGCGCTCTTGATCCTTGCGCAGGCACATATTATACATACCTGCGACGAGCGTACAGTTCAGCAGTGCAAGGAAAGACACCACGTCAATAAACTTTCTAAACTCGATCGAGCGTCAATTTACTCGGATCGGATGGAAAATCGGCACTCGACGAGGGACAATTTCAATCAAAATCACAGGAGCGATCGCTTTGTTTTTCAATAACCGATTTTTTGCTCTTCGCGGATACAAAAGACCAAGTTTTTTTCTTAGGCTCACTAACGGCCTTTGTCCTATTGTTTCAACTGGCTCTGTTTCTACTAGATTAGGCTTGAAGAGAAAATGTAGCCTGGATGCAACTGTATTTTATGAAAGCAGTACTTAGCAGGAAAGAAGAGAAAAACCATGAAAATGTGTTGAAAACATTTGTTTTTTTAATGAAATCTCGTATTGTATACACATAGCACGAAGAAATTCAAAACCGGTATACAAACACTTTGGGAAAGAAAAAAAACTTACCGCAGAACGTTAAAAAGATGAGCACCATGGGTCCAGCCATGCCGATCAAGTTCTCTGCAATGGTCGTCATGCACTTCCAGCGCACGTCAAAGACTCAAATCGTAAGTATTGTGAAAACGGCAGACGGCGACAGTTGCAGCAGAGGGTGTAAAAAGGACTAGTCAGAGAGGAGTCGTAGTTGCATTCCAGCGGCAACAAGTGTCTGTTGGCGTAGTAAGGAAGAGCGCCTAGCCAAAAAAAGAAGGAAAGAAAGAAAGAAGGAAGAAAGGGAAAAAAAAAAAAAAAAAAATAGGAAAAAAGAAAGAGGGTCAACAAGCTCCTGCTCGAGCGACCGAGGCAACCAAGACTGACGCTCGCTAACGGACGGCTCGATCGTTTTAAATGCCCATCTACATGTTGGCTGTGCCTGCGTGTGTACCAACTATAAGTGGGATGTGCCATGTATAGAGTGTACATGTATATACATTACAGAGGGAAGAAGAATGTGCACTCCGTCCGCCAGCCACCACTCTCTCTTCCTCTCTGGCGCTCAACACTCTCAACAGCTCCCTCACGATGCTCCTACGTATAGTTGACCGATTAGATATATAATACCTTACAGGTGTACATGTACATGCATACCTTATCTTCTCTTACCGCGCTTACGCTTACTTTTTATATCCATATCATGTTACTGTGTCGAATGAGAAGCGCCTTTTTTATTTTCCCTCCACTATCTGCAGCTTTTGCTCTTTCGTTTTGTCTTTTGAAAGCTTATTATATTAAGTTCAGGGTATGTAGTTATTCGTTTCGTGCAAAGTAATCTGAATCAGTGCAAAATATATGTGCTTTTGATGGCATTTTTTTTCTTTCATCACAAAGTTACAAGAAACAGGTTTTTGGTTGAAATCAAAGATTTTTTGGTTTGAACGTATAAATACGTAACGGTAATAAAACTTATTACTTTTTTCAATGATTCTACGTTAGTGCTAACTTTTGAAGAAAAAATAATTAAAAGTTCATGGTTCTCCAAGAGGCCATTTTTTCCCATACAGGTAGCGTTATTTCAAACTACTGTACGAAGCGAGTTGTTACAAGTTGAATCTTGGTCGCTATACCAGAGAAACTGCTTCTCCTCGTTTCGCTGCAAGTTCATTTTTTGAAATAAAACAGGATACTGCTCGCTCTCTCTCTCTCTTTTTTTTTCCTTTTCAGTTGAAGTTGCAATCAATGTAATTGTATTTTATTGTCACGGAGGGTCATTATTGTTGTCGCCAACCAAGGCTTGCTGTGGAGTGAGATAAAATTACGCAACAATGGTACATTTTTTTTTTTTTTCTAACTAACAATGTAGTCTTGGTCAAAATTACCGCACGATGCCAGACTCGATAGCGCTAATTTCTGCCCTCACTGCTTTACTTTTAGCGACTATTTGTATGGCTTTGACGTTACACCCACCACACCGGAGATCGACGCACCAAAAAATTGACCAAGTGCCCTTGCAGCCTGGGAAAGTTGATCCGACTAAAAGCAACAGTAGGTGCATACTGACATTTTTACAAAATTTTACTTCCAACAGTAAGATGCCACCGAGTTCCGACGAAGAGGGTCAACAGCTCCGAGATTTACAGATTGGTGTTGACGCAATATAATAATGCATTACAAATCAGGGCAATACAACTATTATCATCCTTTGATCTGAGATCCCAGGGGTACGTCAAACGAAAGCTTCCGTAGAGTATTACCCATCACTGCCTTCGGATGCACCGGCATCGTGAGTATACACAGTGCGCCAACGGTGTATACAAATCATAAAATCATCGTGCCAAACGCAGCTGGCCCGCAATGTGCAGATCGTCAGAGGAGCATGCGGGTATATGTTATACGCGCGTGCTATTAGTTCATTGAGCGCGGGGTTGCGTTTCAAAAGTCGTATGCATGCGTACGTACGAAAGCAAGCAATGATATAGGCGGATGAAATATACGGGACGGCAATGATCGATCGGCTAGTGCATTGGGCACGCGCGTATGGTGTTAAGATATTTGCACCGTTACAAAAATGTGCATTAAATTTAATAACTATGTGTAGGAAGCAAACTTCATAAGCGGTTTTTAAATCAAATGAAAAATTGACAATGAAGTTTAAGAACACAATGTTAAATAGTAAGTGAGATTACTATCAATAGAATAGTGTAATTTTAAGAAGTATGTGTAGAAGATTAAAAAAAAAAAAAATATTAATTGTTACGGCATCAATCTGTAAAAGTATATAGTAATCATTTGTATAGTAGTGAAAAAACATGTATCTCTTGAAATAAATAAGTACATGTATGAAAAAATTTTTTAAAACTTCATGATGGAAAAAATTTTCTTGTACTGTATTTTGAAACAATTTTATGTTCATGAGGTAAATTTTATGTAATAATTGTAACGTTTTCAGCTTAACAATCAATTTTATATTTAAAAAAGAGTTAAGTAAAAATTGTTAAGAAAATCCCGGATTGAATTTAAAATAATACTAAGTAGTCAATGAAAAAAAACTTAAACATGCTTTTTAAACACTTTTCGGAAACAGGTATTTTTCTTCTAGCTACAGAAAATAAAATTTTTTATGTCTGCAGATAAATTTTTATTGATTTTTAATCAATAATAAATATAAGGGTATGAATATTCATAACAAGTATCAAAATTGTTACATTTTTGTTTTTTAATATACTATCTAAAGGTAAAAAAAAAATTATGTATCATGGCTTATAAATATTGATATTGTATGAAGGCAATTGATCGATTATGATTATAAATAATTTTAATTTACTGTTGATACTTTATTTTGAGTCAGAAAACGAATGTATTCACTAGTAGTTAATTTTTTAGGTTTTCTTAAAGTTTTATGTTATTGAGAAGCACATTCTCACTCTACTAGTGTTTGCATAAAATCTTATGATAATCCTTATTAATTAGTTTTCAACAACGTTTTTTTTTGGGGCTAAATAAATTAGATTTTACATTCTCACTAATAAATTTTCATTTAATTTTACGTAATAGTAAGGCTAGAATTTGTAAATATTTAAAATAAATATTTGAATTTTAATACATTTATTTATCTTTTTGTTGTCATACAGCGATAAAAAAACTTTTATTAACTGATTTATTGAAATTCATAAGATTTCGATAGAATTTCATAAAAACATACATGACATTTAAAACTTCTGTCATTTATCATATTTTAAGTTACAAACTTATGAAATTTAATGTAACTTCTAACAGTGATAATCTGTGGTGGACGAGCGTCAGCGTCTTCGAGAATTTTTGGACAGGAATTTCAGCACTTAAGTAGCAGCGATGCCGATGTGCGCGACGGGAGCCCAGGCTTTAATTAAGGATTCACAAGTCTGCCCCGTACGAAAATTAACGGTGATTCAATATGTAACGTTTTTGTTAAACCGATTAGTGAGAATCGCGATCTGTGCAACGCTGGGTTTATTTTGCAATTCGTGCGTGTCTTGTTTATTATTGACTCACATTTTAACTCTGCGCTGGTTTGCGAGATGAGGTTACTATACGGTTTTATTTTTGCTCCTTTAGGTGATAAAAATAAAAAGATCAAAGTACTCATGCTATTTCGAGTGAAGCAAATCGATGATAATTATTGTGTCCATGCAATCTCAACTTGGTCAATGTTACTTATGTTGGGAGCGATTTGTTTTTGTTATAGTATATGGAGTTCAAAAGATTTTTCTTTCTTATCTTAAGTTTTTGAAAGCAAAGTTATGTCGTTTAAATATTTGATGAATATTGGTGGACACGATAATCAAAGCTAGAAATACTTTTACGTTACGTTTGAACTAAATAGCTCCATGTTAAATGAAAAAATAACTCGTAAGAACTTACCTGCAACGATATCTCATTAAAAACACAAAGATTCTTTGTTTCATGTTTGCAATAACCTATAGAAACATTACAATTTTATATGGCCCACTATTGTGTACAGTGCTTAAAAATTGAGCTGATAATGTTTTGGATTATACTTACTTATACGAGGTGTGATCAAAAAGTAAGGTGACTTTTTGAATTGCGCGCGCTCTTTACACTCTAAGTTAAAAAAAATTTTTTTATTATGTTGGTACACTAGTCATGATCATATATTCATAGTTTTGACTATATAGCATGTGTTGTTTTTATGTGAGAGACTTAAAGCTTAGACTCGTGTTTGCGTACTCCGCGATTTCTTTTTGTTGAAAATAATGGAGCAAAGAGTTTGTATTAATATTTGAGTAAAAAATGGTATTAAGTGCTCAAAAACTCTTGAAATGTTGACAGTGGCCTACGGTGAGTCAACTATGAGCAAAAAAATTGTTTATAAGTGGTATAAGTTATTCCAAGAGGGCCGAAAAAATGTTAATGATGAACCTCGCTCTGGGCGACCCAGCACGTCAAACACCGACGAAAATGTTCAGAAAGTGAAAGAAATGGTGCTAAAAGATCGTCGAATCACGATTAGAGAAATAGCTGATGATCTTGACATATCTTTTGGCTCATGCCAATCAATTTTGACGGATGTTTTGGGTGTGAGACGTGTATCCGCGAACACCATGATAATGCACCTGCGCACAAGTCGTTATTAGTTAGTAGTTTTTTGGCCAAAAACAGTACTTCCATCATGCCTCAGCCACCATATTTACCAGAGTTGGCCCCCAGCGACTTTTTCCTCTTCCCAAAGTTGAAAAAGCCCATGAAAGGACGAAGATTTGCCACGATTGAAGAGATAAATTAAAGGCTACATCGCTAGAGGAACTCAAAGCAATACCCAAAATAGCATTTCAGAAGTGTTTTGACGACTGGAAAAAGCGTTGGCACAAGTGCATTGTATCTGAGGGGGATTATTTAGAAGGAGATAACATAGTTTTAGATGAATAAATAAATATTTTTTTATAAAAATGAAATGTCACCTTACTTTTTGATCACACCTCATACGTACACATGGGCTCTTATCGTGGTAAATAAATTATCAAAGAAATACTTTTACTATAAAGTCGGTGAATTGGTTACAGAACAAATTGCATAAAAAATCAGTACGTAAAAAGTAACTATTAGTTAAAATAATCGTCTTATATGATAGTCAGCCCACCAACTCCATTGTTTTGAAGACTTTTTAGCTGAAAGTTATTGCGGAATGTTATTTTTGTGCAGTGTTATTATTGTATATCTGTACAGTGACGTGTAAATATACCCACGGGCTAAAAACTACAACAAATGCAAACTAGTGATATTTTTCATTAGTATTTATTTCTTGTTAATTATGATATGTCTTGCCCCAAGCTATGACTTACTCACAAGTATCGTGAACAAAA